GTGGGTGGCTGTGTGTGACACCAGCCCTAGCGTGGACAGCACCGTGTGGGTGGCTGTGTGTAACACCAGCCCTAGCGTGGACAGCACCGTGTGGGTGGCTGTGTGTAGCACCAGCCCTAGCGTGGACAGCACCGTGTGGGTGGCTGTGTGTAACACCAGCCCTAGCGGGGCTTGGTGAGCACTGGGATAGTGCGGGCACCACGCACAGCGTGTGGTGGGGGCTCCCCTGAGGGGGAGGGGTGAGTGTCAGCCCAGGGGCAGGGTTGCCCCAGGCCATGGCACTCTGGTTGACCCCGTAGACACGTGATCGGGAATGTTCACACAGGGGGCCCCAGGTGGGGGACTAGTGGGTGATCATGTGTCCAAGGAGAGCTCTTGAGAGGGATCGGGAGAGAACGAGAAGGTTCAAGAAGGCGGTCGGGGCCGAGGGCGGAGCGGCCCCGACCGTAGAGGGACCGGGGTCTCTCTTCGTTCTACAAGCTGGAAGCTCGGCGTTTCAAGCTGGAAGCGCCTCATCCTATGAGGGACCACGTGGTCGGAGACCCGAGTGAGGGTCCGACCCTTCGTGGCAGTAACTCCCCTGTATCGTGTAGTTAGCTGGGTGGTCGCCACCCTAAGTTGTAGCTGGTAAAGGGGCAGTTACCCCTTTGTGTTAAGGTGTTACAAATACAGGTGTTGCCTCTAAAAGGAACAACGTCTGTGACTCAGTTGGACGCACTGCACATTGATGTGTTCTAAATGGTACATCTAAGACGAATTTCAATGCAGAATGAAATACTGGACTTAGCTTAGACAGCATGGTCACAGGAGCATCGTTACGAAATAGTGTATCAATAACTGTCGTGGATGTGCTGTGATTCGACCAGAAATCAGACTTAAATAAATTAAACAGATTATGTTCATTTATGAACTTGATAATGTGGTCCTTCACACATTTTTATAGAATTTTAGGAAGAACAGAGAGTATGGATATCAATCTAGATTAATTTGGATCAACAGGAGTACCACGTTTATGAAAGGGCCTGATGGATACCGTTTTTCAACCTCCAGAAACCTTTGCTTTTAGTAAGAAAAGGTTGAAAATGTTGAATATGTGAGTTAAAATTTGGCAGATGAATTGGGTTGCCATACTGAGAGCAAAAATGGGGAATCTTATCAGTTCCAGGAGATGAGGACTCTTTAAAGGTAAGGATTTCTTAGCGAAGATCCAATTCAGAGATTCCAGCAAACGAAAAGTGACCCTCGCGATCTGCAGGCATAGCAGTCAAACCATTAGCAAGTGAATTGGTCGTACCATTATGGGGAATGTTTTGTTATGCCAAATTATAATGCTGAGACAAAGTGTGTCTTAAGCCCACTGATTATATTATACCTTGTTTGGAATTTAGGCTTTTGTAGTAGGTAGCAAACAAGACTTTGGCCTACCCTCAATGGATGTTATAACATATGACATTCAATGATTTCTTATGGTTGTACTGTGATTGTGAAAGTAGATTTCAGAAATACTTTGGCTTGGAAATTCTGACCATTATAACATAACGGTTAGATTCCTTTCATATTTCTGCTCCAATTGAGCTGTTAAGCTAACGAAGATCACCCAAAGCCATGCATCTTTCTACGATAGAATTAAAAGATTTGTAATCAAGTGGACTCATTTGTAAGTCGTATACATGAAGCCGAAGTGGTACATTATATAATGGGCACCACTTTCTATGCTGTCTTGATGAGACTTTATGAACTAATATATCCCCTTCTATTATGTTTTGGCCTTTGCTATCTATGCAACGTACATTCTTTTTTATACATTGATAAATGAAAGAAATAAAACTGACTGCAATTTAAAAAGTATGTAATAATACATGATCTGATTAATAGATTTTGAATCCGTCTTTTGTGAAGGTTTTGTCCTCGTATATTATCTTACATCAATTTGAAAGTATATTTGAATATGAACTTCCCACACTACTTGCCTTACCATGCTACTTTTTAATGTAACTTTTCGTGAGCCAAATTGATAGAGCAAAATTATTTAATCAGTTTTACTGTTGTCACTGTTTTCATTTGATATTGCCACTTTATATACATATAGCTGGGCTCCCTGATCCTAGTTTGAAGCTCTAAGTGAGGTATCATTCTTTGAATGCAAAATATATCTGCGGGATCTTGTCATTTCTGTGAAGGCATACATTTGTAGTGACATGGAATGGGTCACTACGTAGCATAGCGCGAAGGGGATCTGCAGTTGCAGCAGCCCTGTCTGTCAGCAGGTCATGTGATAAGCCAGAGAGAGGGATGTAGGGCAAAGGTGATAGAGGGGGCACGTGAGGTAAGCCCGGGAACCCACGAGTCGGTTCTAGAAGGGGGGCGTGGCCAGGGCAGAGCGAGGCCACGCTAGGAAGATAAAAGGGAATCCCATCGGGCTGCTCGAGTCTTCATCAACGTCTTCACCTTTTCTCGGCATCGTCAGTCAGGCAGTCTGCCAGCTGTCCTGACTGAGAGTTGTAGTTATCCCTTGTAACCTGTGAAGGCTTTAATAAATAGAGTGCCTCCTACTCCTAGTGTCTCTGAGTGCATCACTACACAATTACCCAGAGTAATGTCTTACTCTTTTGCTCGTTAATCGCAAACTCAAAGCTGAAGTGAAAATTATTCTTGTTTTATAAATGTATAAGTAATTAACAATTTAATAAATGAGTACCTCACCGAGTTCTTTAATTATTTAATAATGTATTAAATCTTGACTTAAAGCTTTCGTGACTGCAGAAATTGATATTCTTTGAGTCTTTTGGTAAAGCCACGTAGATAGAAAAAGAATAAAAAGATTACGGAGAGCTCAGTAGCTCTCCGCTATACTTTTTTCACCTGATGACGATTGCTTGTGTTGCAATCGAAACGTCGTGATATTTTTAAAATTACTTTTCTATCTGCGTGGCTTTACCGAAAGACCCAAAGAATAATAATAATGTATTGTTTTTATTTAAAAAAATGCAGATCATACTGGCCTCTGATCTTATTTTTTCGACGCAATATTCTTTCTATATGTATTGTGGAAAAGCCATAAAAATTCCACTTTTTTGCAGCAATTGTTGCAACAACAACAATAATAATAGGACACTATATTGTTAGACCACTAGTCTACGGTGTATGATGACCATCCAATTTCATTTTTCCCTTATATCACACTATTTCCATTCCGATTTTGCTTTCTGCCTTGGAATTTGTCATTCTGTTCATTTCTACATCTGTTCCTTCATATACCCATCTCACTTGCAACCCACTCCACTACCCAATCACTTCCTCCCCATCCCTTTCCCTTTTTTCTCTCTCCATGACCCCCCCCTGCCCCTCCTTCCACAATCACACAATCTCTGTCACGTTATATTTTGCTTTTCCCTCACATCATTCACATTTTTATCCTGATACAATTCTTTTGAAACAAACAAGTGTTAAGATTAATTGTATTGGGCCGATATCAAGTTATTATTATTTCCAGTGTTTAACGTAGGGAAAACACAAAGGGATGATATTCTTGGTTCTTTCGGTAAAGTCACGTAGAAAGGAAACAATAAAATAATAAAAATATGAAACAATAAATTCTCACGACGTTTCGACTGCAACACAAGCAATCATCATCAGGTGTGAAAACCACAACAAGAAAATTTGAAAAAAGTGGCGGTTATTTACACACCTGATGATGATTGCTTGTGTTGCAGTCGAAACGTCGTGAGAATTTTATTTTTTATATTTTTATTATTTTATTGTTTCCCTTCTACGTGACTTTACCGAAAAGAACCAAGAATATGAATCCCTGCTGTCACGAAAGCTTTAAAACAAAGGGATGAATTTCACTTGAAAAAGAGTCTTCTTGTTCTTCTTAATTTCACTGCATTGAGTATATGCTTCATGCACAATTCCAGTGAAATTTACAGAATAAAAAACCCAACCCGTTAAAAATATTATATAAACGTACGGATAAAGGCCACACATTAAACACGCATATGTCACCTAGTACCATCAGGTCGAGTACAACCTATGGAGACATCCATGACCCCAGCACCTTCCACATCCTATCCCTCACTGCCTGTCGGAGTTCCGGAAGAGTCGAACTTCACCTTGTCCAGCCACCTCCTCCCCGGTCTGCCCCTTATTTCAAACTTTCCATGACAAAAAAACAAGGCTACAAGACAAAGATCCCTCGTACAGCCTTAACATACTATCTTGATTTGAAGCTTTCGTGACTGCAGGAATCCATATCCTTTGGTTCTTTCGGTAAAGTCATCACGTAGGTAGAAAAATAATAGATCACGACGTTTCGATTGCAACACAAGCAATCGTCATCGGGTGGAACAACCACAGCAAGAAAACAACTGCTGAAGTAGGCGAGAGATCTGCCGTGGCACGAGGTTATATAGTAGGCCTCGGCAGTAGGGGGGAGGTGGGGGGGAGAGAGGGGGCGGGGCAGAAAGTGCTGTTATTGAACTTTTGGGGAAAGTGCTGTTAGAGTGCACCTATGAAGACGGGCACAGCGCACGTGGGGGTGGGTGGCCAACACCACGCCCGGCCGCCTTTGTTTCCCCAGCGGCGATGCTTACACACCGCGCTAGGTACTCATTTGAGGCTGAGTCGATCTAGGGTAGACCCAGGACCTGCTCAGATAATCGTCACTGGTGTTGGCCATGAGCGGGAATCAACATCGGGTCGTCGGGTTTGTAGCGCAGTGTGCTAACCACTACACTACCGCTCTCCACCATACACAATGGGGCCAGTGTTTTAGGTCTCATTCAAACCATGATGCATACACACTGCATAGCTCTCGTATATAACCCAGTCTAAAATCAGGTTAGGTGAGCCATAGGTGCATGTTTAATTATTTTCTGTACTTTTTTGTTGCGTTGCTAAAAATAATTTCCAAGTCTCAAACGTACTATCCAGTATGTGAAACATTATTTTGACTTGAAACTAAATATTGTGTTTTTGTAAGAATTTTCGCACAATATGCATGAATTTGATCCAAGACGTTTACATTTTATTGTACAGCAAAAATTAATATACAGTATACATATCTTGGTGTATATATATTTTTTTTACAAAGTACAGCAACGTGTACTACAACAACACATTTAATTGTATTTATTCCAGTCAACAAAAAAAAAACACCCACGTGAGAACACACCAGTGAAAAATCACTTTACGTTATGTTATTATAACATACATCAGAGGTACAAATTTGCCATCATATCCACACATTAATACAATAATAAATCAAACACTGCAATGAACTCTCGTAGGTTTAATCAATAAAAATATAATGCATGGCAACTTTGTGATGTATGGCACCATTAGTGACCACCTACATTGTGCTCTGTAAAGACAGAAACGGGCTCTTGTCCTTCCCCAAGATCGAGCCACGGTAGAAAGGGAACTGCAGCTCGCACCGAATACAGCCAAATCCATTAAGCTTTCACGGATACATTGACACTAGTTGTTACAACGTTGACATCAGCCTCTGCAATTACTCATCCTGTTTGCTGCATTAAGAGATCAAATATTACATCAAACATGCAAGAGAACAACGTTTATGACATGTGCAGTGATGGTAACATACTAGCCTCTCTCAGCTGATGCATATGTAACAAGCTCAAGTCACTGCATGGCTGCAGGCGTGAGGCTGACAGCGCAAGCAAGCTCTGTAATAATTTATCGCACGCTTGCCACATCTAACACATATCAGCACGATCATTATCTTTATCAGAAACTCTGTCTTAACAGCAATCAATGTACAAGATTGGGCATGCGTTTTATTTTCTATTCCAATTTTCAGTGCTAATTCAGTTTCTAAAGATGTGAAAATGCCCTTATCTTTTTGTTGTTATGTTACCCACAAGGTGGATATGAACAGTATATGCTGACTGTTCAGTATGTGTCACCAGGGAGTAGCTTAGAACTCATCTTATCCGTGGCGATGTGGAGGGCCGCAGGTAGGGGGATATCGCAAGTCCCATTATCCGCAATGTTATCTGCAAATTTACTCCAATTATCCGTGAAAACGCACGTTTAATTAGATGAATTTTGCTGGAGCAACGCCTCTTACGTAAAATAAAATGCTGATAATCCTGTACAGCATACTGTGTAAGCAATGTTATCCGAGGCGTTGCAACCATTATTATCGTGAAAAAGAAGTTGACTTGGGCTGGAACAACATGGGCACTGCAATGACAATTGATGAACAAACTGAGTGATGGAAGAGCACTCTAGCAAAACCCCAAAAAATCGATGGAAAACCAGAAGATGCAGTGATTAAATGAAGGCACCCAGGAGGGCATGTAACTGGAGGTGATGGTGTCAGCAATACAACGTTCGGCAGCATCTTAAGAGCACCCACACCTATATGGTGAAGCGTACACATTGATGCAAAATCTTTTCCGTAAATCTAATTTTAAAACGAAAAGAACACCCACAGGTGTAAAGAAATGTCCAGAAATGCGATGGTTGAATTCGGTTGTGTACACGAAGCAATAAACAATGTTGAAATGATAATTGATGGTTCAAACAAATAAGTATGTACTTGACTTAAAGCTGTCGTGACTGCAGGAATTCATATTCTTGGGTCTTTCGGTAATGTCAGGTAGATCGGTTTAAATATTTTTTTTGCTTTGAACCTATCTACGTGACTTTACCGAAAGACCCAAGAATATATACTATCATGTAATAACTTGATTTAATTTGGTTGACGTTTTCTCTTTCAAGGTATCAACATCATTTATTATATAGTACGTTGTCATTTATTTTCCACGTACACCACAGTATTTTAGAGAATAACATGTGTAACTCAACACACCATGGTGACATTAATTTCCACATATAAGTTATTTACAACCAATTTACGAGTTTACAATAAATACGAGAGTACTATTATTTCATTAAAAAATAACTCTTTCAATGAAGCTATTCACTGGGCTTACGTGGCAGCCAAAAGCACAAACACCAAAGTTCACACTCCTTTCAATACCCAGACTTCAAAATATAAAGATACTGCAGTTTATGGAATAACCAAAAAAAAAAACAAATGCCCATTACTAATTACAGACAGCTCGTCTAAAAGAAACTATGGCATTGTAGGGATGGGATTGGACTGGGGAAAAGCTTTTTTGAATGACAGTACAGTACAACAATTATATGTTCACTCACGCAGCTTTAATGACTAATGTATGAGTACATGTACAGACTGTTTGTCAATCCACTCCTGGACGAGGGTCTCCCCATGCCGTGCAGGCAGTGAGGGATATTTGACCATACTTCACCACACTGGTCAGTTGTGTGTTGGTGAGAGTGGGGGGTGTACAGAACAACATAGATTTCGGGGCACTGCCGAATTACAAGAGTACAGTATAGGATGGCTTAAATACTGGAAAATAAATGTTTTATGTACTTAATATGAATTCCACAAGAACTGTGTGCATTTTTATATCGGTTCAAAATAGATGATAAAATGTCATTGAAATAATTGGGCATGTACAGTGTATTTTTGACATAAACAGTCTCACTCGAAAAGCATTGCACAGTAAGCATGCCTGAAATAAACATTACTTTGATGGCTTAAATATTTGCTTAAACTGAGCTTAAAGTTCAGAACGGTGGTTGAAAAGATTAATACTTTGTTTCGTTTAAGAATCTGTAAATACTCTTGATTTTTTTCAAATAAGTTGGTTTAAAAATAAAATATTTTGTTACGAACACAATAATTTCCAAAACCTGCCATTTACACATGAAGCAAGTAACAATTGATTGACAAAACATTCACACTATGTGGAATACCTTATCATAAACATAGCATGTGTCTCCCATACAGTCAGGTGAAATTACCTACACATGTTTTTATATACATATATTCTACATTAAAGATAATGGCACTGCAAAGGTCAACTATTTTCAAACCATGCTATAAATATTCCATAATTCACAGTCTCTAAATCACAACCTTGTTATACTCCTGGTTAATTTGAGGGTGATGGAATGTGAACACACCTTTGAACATGGTTTTCTTATTTTATGGAAATGCGTGATTCCAAGCCAAAATTGTGGGAATATATTAAGTTTATTTCATAATTAAGTACCAATTAAAAATTTTCAACAACAGATTGAATTGGTATATTCTGTGCTTTTTCCTTCATATCTTGTATAATGGCAGTACATTTGATCATAAAGTGAAATCCAAACCACCGGGTGCATCTAAAACCTAAGCTTGAAGAATAACCAAACACATGATTAGCTTTTTTTCACATTGAGGGGATTTGTCATCGGTCTGTGATTTATGTATCAACTTTTAATGGAAATATGAAGTTCGACATTTGTTTCATGTAAATTTAAACTTCAATCAAAGCTTCAGAGCCATTTTAAATATGTACAATATGAAAAAAATATCAAACAATACAATTGCGAAATCACGTTAAAAACATGTAGGTTGTATAAGTCAATTTAAAAAGTTAAAGTTATTTCATGTTCGAATGAGCCTATTTACAGGCTAAATTCCCCATTCCTATGACAGGGTTGATATTATCCATACATAATACTGTTGACTTCTCCACAAAGTGGTACAGTACTTATTTAATGATCTCGGATAGCTGATGGGCTGAGTCATTCCCCAACAAGGATTTGAATCTGCAACCGTCTGACTGCGAGCCACTCAATTTGCCCATGAGAAACCTGGTCGTTAACCTTGTGCGTAAATATCTTCAATTGACAATGACTCTGGAGTAATTTGTCTCAAGAACATATACAATTACATTGCTGGAAGTCTAATGTACATCTCTTGTCTCTTGATGCCGAAATGTAGCAACGAATGTGGTTGATGATGCACATCCTGCCTTACAAATGCAGGGTGCAACAATGGGTGCATGGCAATGCTGTCATGGGTCAGGCCATGTATCGTGGGGCACAGAGACCCTATTGGATGGATGTTGAATATGGCTTGGCTGAGCGTGTTGGAAGCTGGGATGAAGTGCAAAGCAGGAGTTGCCACAATGGCTTGGTGCGGTGATAAAATTGCTGCCGGTGCAATAGAAATGCGTGCCACGTTTTGCTGAGGAATTGTGTGCAGTTGTCCCCAAGGCTGCATATGAACGAAGGGTTGAATTTGGTGTATATGCCCATTAGAGATCGGAAACTGTGCTGTATAAATCAATGCCTGATGTTGCAAGAGGGTTTGATTCACGTTGGAAAAGGACGCCGCTATTGTTTGGGGCACGGGCGCCTGGTAGTAAACAGGGTTGTGACAAGGTGCTTTGAGAAATTGCGGCTGGGTATTTGAAGCGATGTTCAGTCTGGGAAACAACTGTTGCTGAAAGTGGAGATGAGCCTCATGTCGCAAATGTCCACATTTTTCTGTTTCTTCAACGGTAAAGGAAATTGTGTCGGCAGAATATAAATGGGCATTCACGCTATGCTCTGCTTCCAGTGCTACCCTGCTATTTGTTTGGGCTATGGGGCGTGAGAATGAGTTGTTTGCCATTGCCAAATTATGTGAGATTGCATTTTGAATGGTTTCCATTTGAGCAGGCTCATTTTCTAAACAAGGGTTGCAACTTCCAACCCTGTTAGTTCCATCAGCAACGTAGGTATTCTTAGCTGGACTTAATTCAAGAGTATTTGTTACCCGGCATATACCAGGCTTGTTTGAAACGGTTGCTTTAGCGTCGGTCACGCTGCCTCTCTGGGACACAATGATGTCTGGATTTAATTCTTTTGTTGTAAGTATACTCGCATCCTGTGGAGTCCCAGTGGTCCTTTCTTGTCCAGCAACGTGTTGGATCAAATACGATTCTCTGGACATATCGAAATCCAAATTGTCTTCACCATGTGAAAGAGTCTGTCCACAATTTTGTCGAGATACATCCGTTAATGTAAATTGTGATTTGAGCATTGAGATTGTACATTTCTCATTTTCATTTGTATTATTGTGGGAATGCACATTTTTTGTCTGAATTGTCTCACAGCTTTCTTTGTCGATGATTTCCTGGCTCTCACAATTTATCTGTGGCACGTGGACAGACACGTTGGCGTTTTCCACGTACGGACTATCCACCTGAATGCTCTTCCTTTCGGACATTTTGTAAACTCCAAAATGGGAATGGGATTTGCTGTCATGAAGATAATGTTGTTTAAACAAGCTTTTCTTATTTATGCCGGTGTTCTTTAGATGATCATGACACAAACCGTTTTTTCTCACTTTTGAGGCAAGCTGTATTTGCGTTGGACACTGACAGGTGTGGCTGATGCTGCAGGGTTCCTGGCAGCCCGAGTTACAAACATAGCTCAATCTCTCAACTGTGGCCGTGCCTTTTTGCTCGGTCCTATTGGCAGTGACGCAACAATGCCGATTACGTTTGCTCCTCCAGAAATGGCTGCCGTAACATTCATTGGCGTCATGGGTTCCGTTTGATGTGTGGTGTTTCCTTCCGTATAAATTATTGCTGCATCGTACAGATGAGTTCGAGTAACTTACAGATTTGTAACTGCTCCTCCAGTTTTCTTGCAGCATTGAGCGAGAGCTGTCATTATGCAGAGAGTAGCTGGAGAATACAGAATGATGCATCATACCATTGGGCCTCTGACAAATGACATCATCAAATCCTAATGCTGATCTACATGCAGAATCGTTGCATTTAGTTTCCACCTCCATAATGCTGTTATTACAGTTAATCTCAGCATTGTCGGTAGACTCCTTTGAATGAAAACTACAGACTATAGCCGTTTGATTTTGATTTTCAACTTTCTGCTGTGTGTTTTCTTCCAACTGTGATTCTGTTTTACTTACCTTTGATTTCACATAATGCTCCATTGATTTTGTATTCCCATTTCTGTGCTTGTATGCCCAGCATTCTTTAGCAAAACCCGATTCCTTGTCTCGGCTCTCCCCCAGGAATGTGCATTTTCTATCAAATTTTCTTTTAAAATTGTTTTTCAGCTTTGTACTATTCTTTTCTTTCCAAAAACAATCTGAAAGTCCATTTTGTATCAAATTACCTCCCTCATGCCACAAAGGGTGATCTTTGGCGCTGCTCGTTGTCCCGTTTGTCTCAGAGTCCTGTATAACGTATGGCTCCGGATCTAGGCTGTGGTCATGTGTCGTTTCAAGGCAGAGTCCTGTCAGCTGGCACTCCTTGCTGCCCTGTCGAGTGTGTGCTTCAATACTGATGTCTGTCATGACAGATGGATGCCATTGCTGACAATCGAAGGCTTGGCTTAACCTCATTTGTTCAGGAGGAGACTTGAAGGAAAGTGGATTACAGCTGAAAGAGAGAGATGGTTCTGTCTTAGTGAACTGTACAAGTTCTGCTGGCCACTGCAAGGTAGCGGATTCATCCGCATTAGTCACAGGAAAAAACATCTCTGGTACTTTTTTCGACGCTTCTTCCAGAAGGCAGTTCTTGTTGAGGAAACCTTTATCAGTGTCTAAATCCCCTGGGACGCCAGCTTGGCTTTCTGTCGGAGCTTGTTTTCTATGCACATTTTTGTTTCTGGCTGAAGAGTTTGCCTCAGGATCATTATTAAAATCATCTGTTTGTTTGATCGAATTTGAACCACTGCTTAAAATGTTATCTTTAGTTTTGTCTGTCAAATGTTCCTTTATTTTGATAATTTGTTCTGACGACGTCTTGGTAATATTCTTAACAGACAATTTATTCTGTATGTTTGCTGCCGTTGAAGAGCTCAAGACTTGACGCTTCTCTCTACACAGGTGTGCGGTTTCTTTTTGGTAATTTTCCATGGAATGTTTCTTTCTTTCTGAATCTGCAAACGTGTGATCCTCAGTTATATTTAATCTGCTTCCAGTTTTAATATCCGCTTTCACCATCCCAGGCACTGATGTGAGTCTGCCATTGTTTGCAAGCGTCCTCACACCCCTATTTCCGACGACCTCCTCTGTATCTTCGCTAAACACGGCTGCCGACGATTCCAGTTTAGCGTTCACTTTTCGAGCAAACGAGAACGAGAGGCCGACCCTGTGTGCAGAGACCGCGGGGCAGCGCGTGACAGATCTCAGCAGCGGAGAATTTGGCACCCGCACGCCCTGAACTGCGCCCTTTGATCCGCTCGCAGAATCATTCGTGGCTGAATCCCCCTTTCCTCCGAGGGCGCGGGTTTCTGCCGTCTCGTCCGTGCAGCCGATCCCTTGTGTGCCCCCAGCAGCTCGCGACTCGCCCTGCAGGACCGTCTCCTCACGTGGTTGTCTGCACTGGGCGGCAGAGTCGCTCCCAGGGATGCTGCAGTTGATAACAGCGGCGGCAGCAACAACGAAATGTCACCACACGTAGACGACGCGCTCTGGTCCATCGTCCGTCTTAACACGACTTGAGTACGCGAGCGATGACTGTGTCTATTTTTGCGCTGTATTTAAGGCAGACAAGCCAGCTTCGTGGAGGGGGGGCATTAATATTGTTGGTTTCAAATGTACAGACGTAAACAAATTATGGTTGAATCGCATAACACGCCGTTTAGAGACTACATGAACACGTATTTAAATAGGACCGTTCTATGTGAAGTCTTCTAACTGTTAATACAATCAAATAACACAGACCTATATTCTGAAGACAAAAAACCACGTTATCCAATTAGCAATTTAATACAATGTGGATTTATAGAGAATCTAAACATAGCGATATCCGTCGCAAAGATAATTTAATCTGCAAATTGAACCATTCTCCTGTGATGAAAACAGACAATGCAAATGTTAGAAGACCCCTGTGGTTATGCAGGCAATATCTAATTTGAATACATCTGCACGCGAGTGTGTGTGCATACGCATTATGAACACAGCAGTTCAGTCTGCTAAAGCGTCAACTATTTTCTTCCTTCATGGCAGCAAAATAGTTTTATTTGTCATTAAAATTACTTATTTATTTTGTATTTAAAAAAACGTGTGTATGAACTCAGAAGGAAAACTATTTAATACTATACTCTTTGGTTCTTTCGGTAAAGTCACGTAGGTATAAAATAAATTAAATTAAATCACGACGTTTCGGGCGCAACACAAGCGTCCGTCATCAGGTGGGACAACCACAGCAAGAAACAATTGCTGAAGTGGGCAAAAGGGCTGCCGTGACAAGAGGCTATATAGGTAAGAGAGGGGGGAGGAGCCAGGGAGGAGAGCTAGAGAGAGGGGGGAGGAGCAAGGGAGTAGATATAGAGAAGGGAGGAGGAGCCAGGGAGGAGAGATAGAGAGAGGGGGGAGGGGCCAGGGAGGAGAGATTGAGGGGGGAGGGGCCAGGGAGGAGAGATAGAGAGAGGGGGGAGGAGCAAGGGAGTAGAGATAGAGAGAGGGGGGAGGAGCAAGGGAGTAGAGATAGAGGGGAGGGGCCAGGGAGGAGAGATAGAGGGGGGAGGAGCAAGGGAGTAGAGATAGAGAGAGGGGGGAGGAGCAAGGGAGGAGAGATAGAGGGAGGGGGGAGGAGCAAGGGAGGAGAGATAGAGAAGGGGGGAGGAGCAAGGGAGTAGAGAAAGAGAAGGGGGAGGAGCTAGGGAGGAGAGATAGAGAGAGGGGGGAGGAGCAAGGGAGTAGAGATAGAGAGAGGGGGGAGGAGCAAGGGAGTAGAGATAGAGGGGAGGGGCCAGGGAGGAGAGATAGAGGGGGGAGGAGCAAGGGAGTAGAGATAGAGAGAGGGGGGAGGAGCAAGGGAGGAGAGATAGAGGGAGGGGGGAGGAGCAAGGGAGGAGAGATAGAGAAGGGGGGAGGAGCAAGGGAGTAGAGAAAGAGAAGGGGGAGGAGCCAGGGAGGAGAGATAGAGAGAGGGGGGAGGAGCAACGGAGTAGAGATAGAGAGAGGGGGGAGGAGCCAGGGAGGAGAGATAGAGAAGGGGGGAGGAGCAAGGGAGTAGAGATAGAGAGAGGGGGGAGGAGCAAGGGAGTAGAGATAGAGAGAGGGGGGAGGAGCAAGGGAGGAGATAGAGGGGGGAGGAGCAAGGGAGTAGAGAAAGAGAAGGGGGAGGAGCCAGGGAGGAGAGATAGAGAGAGGGGGGAGGAGCAAGGGAGTAGAGATAGAGAAGGGGGGAGGAGCCAGGGAGGAGAGATAGAGGGGGGGAGGAGCAAGGGAGTAGAGATAGAGAGAGGGGGGAGGAGCAAGGGAGTAAAGCTAGAGAGAGGGGGGAGGAGCAAGGGAGGAGAGATAGAGAGGGGGGAGGAGCCAGGGAGGAGAGATAGGGAGAGGGGGGAGGAGCAAGGGAGTAGAGATAGAGAGGGGGGAGGAGCAAGGGAGTAGAGATAGAGGGGAGGGGCCAGGGAGGAGAGATAGAGAGAGGGGGGAGGAGCAATGGAGGAGAGATAGAGAGAGGGGGGAGGAGCAAGGGAGTAGAGATAGAGAGAGGGGGGAGGAGCAAGGGAGTAGAGATAGAGAGAGGGGGGAGGAGCAAGGGAGGAGAGATAGAGAGAGGGGGGAGGAGCAAGGGAGTAGAGAAAGAGAGAGGGGGGAGGAGCAAGGGAGTAGAGAAAGAGAAGGGGGAAGAGCCAGGGAGGAGAGCTAGAGAGGGGGGAGGAGCAAGGGAGTAGAGATAGAGAGAGGGGGGAGGAGCAAGGGAGTAGAGATAGAGAGGGGGGTGTGGGGTAGGGGGAGTGGAGTGCTGCTAGAGGGATTAGAAAACGAACAAGGCAAAATGTCGGGGGGGGGGGGGCGGGAAGTGGGCTGGGCTGGGAGTGGGAGGCTGAAGAAACTGGAGATGCGGTTACCCGTCCTAGTGTAGTGTGTTATTACAGAGGCGCCACACACTATTGTTTGAGGCAACGCGTTTCATAAACAACCTCACTAATCTTATTCTTAGCTCTTTCGGTAAAGTCACGTTGAAGGGAAACAATAAAATAACAAAATTTATATAAAACAATACAAATTCTCACGACGTTTCGACCATAACACAAACGGTCGTCATCAGGTGTGTCGGTTTGCATAAATTTATGAAAAACGTCGGCGCCACGCGCAGCGATTTAGCAGTTTATTTAGAAGGACTAGTCCATCTATGTTCTGAAAAGAGGAGGTGGGAGACGAAAAAATTAATGTATGCTGTCTGAAAGCCACTGTAAGCGTGAACAATCAAGTAAGACCTGAAATGGTTTATCAAATCTTTCCAATGATTGCTAAGCCAGAATCCATCTTCTTGGTTGAAATTGTCTCTGTGCTTGTATATGTGGATAGCCTCATGCACAGAGACAATTTCAACCGAGAAGATGGATTCTGGCTTAGCAATCATTGGAAAGATTTGATAAACCATTTCAGGTCTTAATTGATTGTTCACGCTTACAGTGGCTTTCAGACAGCATACATTAATTTTTTCGTCTCCCCCCTTCTCTTTTCAGAACATAGATGGACTAGTCCTTCTAAATAAACTGCCAAATTGCTGCACGTGGCGCTGACGTTTTTTATAAATAAATACACTGTTTAAAAATAAATAAATTTATGCAAACCGACACACCTGATGACGACCGTTTGTGTTATGGTAGAAACGTCGTGAGAATTTTTATTGTTTTATATAAATTTTGTTATTTTATTGTTTCCCTTCAACGTGACTTTACCAAAAGAGCTAAGAATATGAATTACTGTAGTCACGAAAGCTTTAAATCAAAACCTCATTAATCACTTAGTTCTACGGTTAAGTGTGGCTATACTGTTCCTAGACTGTTCGCTATGTGTGTGTGAGCTGAACGAACGGGCCAGCTAGCACATACGCTGCCTGACCCACGATCCCCAGCTAAGAATCTACGGCAAACGAGGAGCGAAGAGCGAAGACCCCTTGCGTTGATCCCCATGAATGAGCCCCGAATCCCCGAACGCGCTCCCCCTTTATTGACGGCGCCCCCGCTTCCGGTCACGTGTCCTTAACTCCTCCAATCGAGACACCGCTTCAGGTAACGTGCCCTTGACTCCTCCAATCGATGCCCACTTCCGGTCACGTTCCCTTAGTTCGTCCAATCGAGAGGCACCGCTTTCAGCCACATGTCCTTAACTCGTCCAATCGGACACCGCTTCCGGTCACATGACCTTAGCTCGTGGCTGGCGCGACCCACATAGACATCTGTGTCTCCATACTTACAGTAGTGACTTTATTCACGACACTACACTAGGACGGAAGCTGTAATATTTACGAAAATTTTTAGCAGAGTAAATTTAATGGCAGTGAATCTTGAACAAAAGTATGTCATCAAACACTTCACTGCAGTTCACTTTAGCACTGTATTAATGACAGTGATTCTTGACCAAAACTAAGTCATAAAACACCACTTCATGTCACTGTAGCACTGTATATAACTGAGCTTCAATTTGTTCAAATTCACTGCTCTGATACTTTATTCTCTTCTGCTTTCGGTCGCTGGGGTTGAAATAAATTGGAAATCGATACAATATCTGGAAAATCAACGAGAAATGTCTATTTTACCATAATGTAGAAGCATAAATTAGACTTCCCTTTTGTCTCAAGTACTGAAGAAATAAATAACGACACCAAATCCACTTTGTTGCTGCGTAGCATTATGTATTAGATTCACTTAATAAAGAAACGTCAAACTTAAAGCGTTATTGCGAAAAAACATGTCTTTCCGTTCGAGCTGCATGAGTGTAAAAATTCACCCGCTCATGAATATTATGGGGGTGGAGTGACGTCACGTGCGGGACAGACATTCTTGGCTCATTATAGTAGTAATACAGTACCTATAAAATATAGATATGAACTGCAATCGCCCAATACATTTTTATAGCGTGTACAGAAAATTGACTTATTTTATGACTGTTAATAGCATTTCATTCCCGTATTCATTACTAATGTATACATAGTGATTTTTGTCAACGCTACGCAAAATATTACCTAAATTCACAGTTGATGTTAATTCCCATGATGGAATGTATCGATTCCAATCAAAATTCAAACTAAGTTCTAAAGGGTAAATGTTCCAAGGAACATGTTTACGTGGAATATTATCTCCAAGATGGGAACATGCCCAGCTGCTAATGCTCCAAACGTCCAATTTCATTGGAAATAATGAGCTGTGGACATTTAGCAATACTAGTTCTGTTTATTTTGGTCATTGTGCTCGAACACATCCAGAAGGTTTCCCCTTTTTAATACTCTGAAGGGCAGAGTTCACATGGTCAGGTGTGACATCTGGAACGTCCACCTCTGCACACTCGTGATAACCTAGATGATAAGAGTTGTGCATTCATAAATGTACTTTCTGAATCTGGCCAATGGTTTAATCCCTGGGATAGATGGTTCCATCTATCTTCCTCTTTGCTACCATTTGTGAATATCCAATCCAACCTTGTCCTTGCCCTTTTCATGCTCCCATTATTTTCTATGATGCCTTCATAATACTGTTGTGTTGTATTCCCCTATTTTAACATTTGTTTCATAGTTTTACAGAGTTCTGTGTATTCAATATGTATTCAGCATCTTCATCTATTTTTATCTCTTCATGTTTTCAGATAATTTGGTATTTTTTTAACCTTTCTTCCACTTTTAATGCACTATCTATGAGGTTTCTAGTTTTGTGACTATTTCAACTGGTGATATAATGTCATCACTTTACTTCTCTTGGTATTTGATTCTGTTGTTTTGACAATGTAATATTGGTAGCCTCTTGGTCTAGGTTTTTGCGATTAACTGCAGTATATGATTATCTTTATTTTATAATTAAGTTATCTGCTCTAACAACAAACAATTACGATTAATAAGTTAGAACGAGTGTATGAAGACCTTTACCAATTATTAAAGATAAAATGCATTAAAAAATTTGAAAGGGTAACTTATGAAAACACTGTTAAAAACAAATCCAGAGATACAATGATTAGTAAGTTTGGCATTGGAGTGAAGAATAATAGAAGTGAGCATCTGCTCATGTTTGCAGCCACCAAGCCGATTGGGATACAAAAATATATATTGTATTTCTCGCCAGACCCAAAATTTGTAGTTTCCCTCTGAAGTAGAAACAAACAATCTTTACAAATATGACATAAATCAATTGTTGTGTTTATAAATTCGATTTTACACCAAATGAACACTGATCCACTTTCACATTAAGAATAAAATAAAGTTTAAGTTCAATTTCAATATGGTGACAAAAATGTGTTACAACCTTGACTAACAAAATGTATTACAAAACTTTAATTAACCACTTTTACGCGGTGCATTGAGTTTTATCTCAGCCAGTGCTCATTGTTGCCTAACAGAGGAGTAATATTCTTTGGTTCTTTCGGGAAAGTCACGTAGATAGAAAAATTAAAAAAAGGAATAAAAATAATAAAATGAAAAAAACTACATTTCGATCGCAACACAAGCAGTCGTCATCAGGAAAAGGGAGGTTAGCCTCTAAAGGCAAACTTTATAAAGGTTTAAAATGGGCGTAGCCCAAGTGTCAGCAGCATGGGCGGGGCAACTAATGTTAACGTGAGTGAAGGCAGTGGTCGACAACGACGACGCTGGTGGTGGGTTTCCACCAATTAAAGGGCTGCCAGGTAAAGGTTTAACATGGGCGTAGCACAGGTGTAGCAGCATCGGCGAGGCAGCTAATGTTAATGTAAGTGGAGTAATGTTGCAACCTGCAGAACGTGTGTAAGAGGAGTAATGTAGCAACCTGCAGAATGTGTGGTAGCATGGGTGGGCAAATAATTCCCAGAATGTGAAGTCAAAGAGCATACTCTTTGGTTCTATTGGGTAAAGTCACGTAGGTAAAAAATAAAATAACAAAAATCACGACGTTTCGGCCACAACACAAGCGGCCTTCATCAGGTGAAGGGACAAGACTGTCTGGAGGACAGCGCTGGAGTGAGAAAAGCCACGTTCAGATCACGACCTTTAAGCTGTGTGAGAAGAAACAAAGCGCCTTGACAAAGGAATTAGCATATAATTTAGCATTGAAATGGCTGAGTGATTAGCTTGTGACTGGTCACAGAAATGGCTATGTTAAAGTTAAAGCATACACATCCGCAAAGGCACCCCTTGACAAAGGAATTAGCATAGAATTTAGCATTGAAATAGCTAAGTTAAAGTATACACATCCGCAGAGGCACCCCTTGACAAAGGAATTAGCATAGAATTTAGCATTGAAATAGCTGAGTGATTAGCTTGTAACTGGTCACAGAAATAGCTATGTTAAAGTCAGAGCATAAACATTCACCGAGGCACCTAGTACAAATCAAACAGGAGAATTTAGCGAAACACAGCCACGCTCAGACCGCGGACCTTTAAGCTGTGTGCGAGCAAACAAGGTGTCCTGACAAAGAAATTAGCATAAAAATTTGCATTTGATTGGCCGATTTTAGAAAAGAGGTGGTGTACGTGCCGGTGGACTTGCCGTTTGGCCCGGGGGGAGGGGGCGAGGGGGAGTTTACCTATTGATGGTGTGAAAAGGGAATTTATAAGAGCTGCGAAAGTTTGGGGTACCACTACTTGAAAAATATACTGTACCATTGAAATTAGTTTAATATTTAGTTCGATTTAGAACATCTTTCCAATGGTTGCTTAATTTGAAACCATCTTCTCGGTTGAAATTGTGTCTGTGTTTGTAGATCTGAATTGCCTCGTGAACAAATCTCTGATAAAAACCCGTGGGTTTGCAAAGAACCTTGGTATCGGAGAAAATTATATCGTGATCACCCACAGCGTTGTAACAGTGATCAGCCACGGCAGAATAATTCGTTTTGCCGTGTTTCAAATCTGATTTGTGCTCGCGAATTCGGTCAGAGACATATCACTTTGTCTCCCCGATATAGCAATCACCGCAGGTACAACTCAAAGCGACATGTGAAGCGCGCGTATATTCAATCATAAACGATCGCTGAGGCTCCTGTGCGTATTTACACAGTGCATTTTATGCAGGGTGTTTACGTAGCGACGATCGCATCAACGGTGGGGCGTGCGTATATTATCATCAATACAGCCGTCGTTTTGCCCGCGTGCCTGTGCCCGCGTGCGTGTTTGCACAGCGGATTAAAAGCCGACCCACCGGCGGGAGGGGCGTGCATATTCATACGGCTATTTTTAGCACGAGCCGTGGTGAGCGAATGTGCGCCTCCTCGGGCACGCGCGTGCACGCAGCCACCTCCGCATTAGTGGTGGTGTACGTGGGGAGTGTGTGGGATAACTCCAGGCGGTGGTGAGCCAGCCACTAGCCATGTCCCTCAGAGAGGACGCTGGTGCGGGGGGGGGGGGGGGGGGGGGGGGGGGCGATCACTCGATCGGCAGCAGCCCGGCGATAGGGGGCCGAGGAGGATGGCTTAGAGGAGGAGGGGGGCGTCAGCCCCCACAGAACTGTGAGAGAAGACACGAAGCTGCGGACTGTCGCGCAGGTGTTCTGCAGCTGAGCTAGCTTGCTGCGAGGATGTGCTCACCAGCGCAGCTGTTTGATTTCCGCCAGACAATGCACACGCCGAAGGGCTCGTCCCCGCCGTCTCTCCTCCCTTCGAGAGCGAGAGAGCACATTCCGCGCAAACTCCCGCTGCTTCAGCTCCTTCAGCCTCTGCGGTGGGGACATAGGCACCACAAGCAGAGCTTTGCCTCTAGAGTTTCAGAAGTGTACTTCCAGGGAACAAGAGGTTATGTTATCTGTCATGGTAAGACAAACACATTCCAAGTAATTCTACAATAAATGTTTACCAAAGTGTAAACTGCATACAAGCGCACCTTATAGAAACAAGATTCAAATAAAATAAAACATCCTTATGCTATATAACAATTGTATACAGCATATTGTTTGTCCCTTTAAGCCAATATTATTGCTGAACGTGTTGGATTTTTTTATAGTTAATTGCACCGGGCAGTATAATTATAGGGGGAGGCCGAGGGCAACTTCTGATATAAGCACACCATTTCAGATATTGGCCCAGCTTGCCTTGCTGCCAAGGGGTGAAACTACTGGACATCTGTGAAAAAGAGTTTTATAGCTCATAGAATTCTTCCAGTATAAATATTCGGCTTTTTCTTATACTTTAATAAGTGAATCGCTATCTGGAGTGGAGCATAGTGCACAGTCAGTCGCCAGCTAGGCTGTAACGGACCTGCTTGTGTGCGTGGTCATAAGAGTTAATGTGGTTGTCGAACTCGCGGTGCTTGTAGTACTGCTTGTCACACAGCTTGCAGTAAAAGTTGGCCTTTAGGTCCTCAAGGGTCCTTGTGACCCCTTGCTCCTCACCCCGCTCCTGCAAAACGGAGAGGGCACTGGATTACAGGAGAAAGCATTTATGTAGAAGTGACCCTGGCGGCTCAGAGGTCGGACAGCCGTGTTGACATCTGACCCGCCCTTACTGGACATCCGTGAAAAAATTGCGTTATAACTCATCGGGTTTCTCCAGGATAAATAAAGATTCTGATTATGAGATCCTAGGTATGAATGCAGGCAGCCAACAGCCTGTAATTAAACAGGGTACCTAAGTGCATTGAGATGGTGGTCTCAGGCGGTCACCAATGACTGCATAAAAAAAAAAAACCCATCACATTCAATTTGGTTGATGCACTTTGGTTAAATTCCAGCACTCAGAATTCAAATATCAGTTTGACTGTCATGGACATTGCCCTCAGAAGTGTTTTTTCTATACCACGTGAACAATAAGTAACTTTGAAGTGACCTCAGAGGTAGCCATGTAATAGCCACTTCTGTGAGCTGTTCCCTAATATGCAGGGTTGCATTGCCCTACGAGAGATCAGAATGGATACGCGACGATAATCGGGATGAAACTGGAACAAAACAATACAAGAAAATGTGTGTGTTTTTTTAAAATAAATAAGATGAAGGAAAAGAACGAATGCGTCCAAGAATATAACACATCCCCTTATATAATTTACACACAGTGCAAAAGCAACATACAGAATTCCTAACTTCCAATAGGATGAAGTATTTTTTACTAATTCGAATAATAATGTTACAACCCCTTTGTTAATTCACGGGGGGGGGGGGGGGGGGGGGGATAAAGGACTCCCCACGTGATATCAGCCATGATGGTTGTTGACAATATATCACCACGATGGTCAGTGTGGGTTGGTAAAGGTGCATTACAGGCTCGGTTCAGATATCACTGACCACTGATGTTAGCTGTGGCCAGGAAGCATACTTAGATGTCTGTCTTACGACAACAAATGCAGTGCTGTATAATAATAGTACTAAAATATTTTACAGCTCTTTTTTAAACTCCAAATATACGAAAACACGCCCACTGACACAACACTGTCAATAATGGGGGTTTATTGACCATACTTCACCACACTTGTCAGTGCGGGTAGGTGAATGGTGGGGAGCACAGGATCAATTCAGATATCGGTCGTCACTGCTGTTAGTCATGCCTGGGAATCGATGTCAGGCAACTGGGTTCATATTACCACTCCACCACCCTGCATACCCTCTTCACGCAGCAGTATAGTATCAAACTCATTGAATCCTCCATAAAAAGACACACTTGCAAACTTTTACTGGGAATGTCCATCAAACAGTGCAGTGCTGAGACACCAAACATCTCAAATAAAAGACAATATCGAAGCAATACAGAATGTGGTGAAACCTTGCTGCTTGGGATACGTTTTAAAAAACCTGATATTTTTAGTTGTTCGAATATTGGCATGAAGTACAAGCAGTCCATCCACAAGACGCTCCCTAGAGAGCTGCATGCAGGTCGACACGGTGAGCAAGTGGCAGCCGGCAGCCTTGCACGGTTACCAACACATCAATCGTGCATACTATTTTTTTCCAGAAATGTACATGAATAAAACATTACATTCTTGTAGAATACGATGCAGATTCATGTTTAATAAAAGGAAGGAAAAAATACTGAATTAAACATGTATAATAGATAACGGCACGAAAACTTACTTGCGTGGCATTGAGTTTTGTTTAATGATAGGGAGTTTGTTGTGGTGGGAACACATCAGGCATGTCTACAGCAGCGTGCCGTCTGCACTGCAGCACAATTGTAAACGTATGTACTTTGTACTGTGTTTACTTTGCGTGATAAGCGTTGCACACGTATCACGGTCATGGGTATACTGTTGTTTACCAGTTTGTGACTTTATAGAAAAAAACATTCTGCAGAGATATATTCAGATTTTTCTTGGCAAGCTCGGGGAAAATTTCATGAGAGTAGAGCATTTTATTTTCCCGTTTTATGCTTCCATCTGTAAATATACCCTGGATAATGGTTAAACATCGTATGCATAGAAATAGGAGCCCAATAAACATGATACTGCATTAAAGCAGCGAGCCATTCATTATAAAGTTTTCCATCGCATCAACTTTTTGATATAATGGAGAGCCGCGCTGCTAAACTCCACAGTGAATTTCTGTTGACTTCCAATGACAGTGGGGAAAGGAATGGTGTGCAACACATAGCTTAGTGTGGAATTTATTGTGCTTCCCAGTGCCTCTGAGTGTTTCCAGATAGGCTCAGTGAGATGCTTCCCGAAGGGACATTACCATAGCTGTTAATGGGCTTGTCTACAGAAACACTAGTTTAACACATAAACACCCCCAATCTATCCCTGCTGATCTCCAGAGTGCTCTAGATCTAAACAGCAGCAGAGCCCACCCCTCCCGCTGCCCTCTTTCCCGATTGATTTCAGGAGTTACAACAAAAAACTGCGTGCAGTATTCCACCAGTGCGTAGATGCTCCAATGCTATTCTATATTCACAACTACATGCCACCACACTGGGTGAGTTATGCAGCCCTTTCCCTATTTCCATACACTGTATTGACCTTTCACTTTTTGCATCTCAGTGCCGAGTGCAGGGCAGGTTTGACATGAGTAATGCTGTTATTATTGTAATCCACCAGTGATAAATACTCGCTTTGTTTGTAAGCAGGTGGGAACATGTAAAGGAGGCCAAAGCCATTCATTTGCGAACTCATGACTCAAACGCTGGGAAGACATAACATGCTGCCAAGTAATTACTTCGATAGAGACTAGCGCCACTTCCGAGAATAGAATTCGAATGGCTGGCATGACCACAGAGGCCTTGGGGTTTCAACGATTCAACAAAAGAGAATGCATTACAACGCCTAGCAAGGCAGATTTGGTCTCGGCCATAACCTGTGCTCAATGCAGCCTTGCTGTTATTCATATTCCACGCACACCTAACACACAAAGTCAAATATTCCCGTAAAGCCTTTAACAGACTGTTGGGGGAAGTGCAGTTACCAAGCACATACGAAGGCCGGCATGGCAGCACCACGCCCGGCCGCCTTTGTCTCCCAAGAGGCGATGTTTACGCACCCGCACGAAGTAGTCAATTGAGACTGACTCGACCTCGGGGAGGCCCAGGGACCAGTTCAAATATTTGCCACTGGTCGTGAGCGGGAATCTAACTCCGGTGGCCTGGTTTATAGCGCAGTGCGTTAACCACTTCTCCAACCACTGCACCTAAACATACACACACTGTCCACAAGCATGTACTTATGTTCATAGTTTGAAATTACACACATTCGCATTGACATGTGTTTATAAGAGCAGTCTTCACTTATTGAAGACATAACAGCATATTGCTCTCTGTGTTTAAGCGCCAAGGCCAATTTGTATTTTGTATTTATTGTACTATAACAACAAATGGACTGAAATCAGTACAAAAGTGTTGTGCGGCAATTCAGCATCCCCATTTGCTGATAATTTCCTTCTCATTACGTTGCACATGCGTTGAGGTGACGATGGCAACTAATTTATTTCTATTTAATTTTTTAAAACATCATGAGCAAAAAGAAAGTGCACTCTACAGTGACACAAATTGGCTTAATAAACGGACACGTAAAATATATTGAAATCGTGGCATGAATCAGACTTGAAAATACAGAGAAAGCCACTAAACACAATTTGCTTAATTGCGTTTTCTCTTGTCAATGTCAAAGGAACAAATGAATGGAGACACGTAAGAGTTATGCATTGTCTATGAATTTAATGTGTATGAAGAAGTCATGTACATATTTATCTATACTGTATGCAGTACATAGTATATTCATAAAAATGTTATACATATTTTCTATGAATATGCTAATGCGTACAAATATTTTTGACCATTTGAAATGTAATTCCTCTGTCAAGCAAATACTGGAAAGCAGCATTAATTGCATTACATACTATGTATATTTGCAGAATTAGATGTTATTTGTGTGTATATAAGGATGTTCATGTTTTACTGCATAGACTAAAGGAATGGCTTTTACAAAAGGTCGTGTCAGAAACCCAACAATGTCAACTGATTAGCATTCAAATAAATGTGTTCAATGGCATACCTTTAATCATTTTAGATCCCAGCCTGATTTATGTGAATGCGTCAATAACGGATATCAATAAGTGATTCCGAGGGCATTGTTAACGTGCTATGTGACCAGACAAGTGGGTGCGTTTTTTTTCTGTTTGGCTGGAGCAACTTTTTCTATCCTGACAAGAATCTGGCAGGCGAGGTTGTGGTGTGTTGTATACTTGGCTCGCCAGGCCCTCTGCGACCACCCCAGTGGCCATGAATCAATTAACACGCTGCAGATGAGAAGGAGGTGAATTGATCTTCTCGAGAAGTAATAAATACTGCAGAAGAGACAAACAAGATAACCATTATATTCCATTGAACGGGTTGATTCATGCTACACTTTCTTGTGCATGCTAATGCATAGACTGTGTATTTGCACAGTGCATATTAAAGTGAAATTGCAAATGCAGTCGGGAGATTTCTGCCTGACATAATTAGATAAAGACAGATTTATAGCCTGGCTAGGCTGTTTGTTCCAAGCAGTAATAGGAAATATCTATAATGGATATTAGTGGCACCTGAGCGTCATTGGTTTATACATACACATGTATACACGTTACATATACTGTATAAGCATATACACATACAATATATGCATATTCTGTACTCACATACATGTACGCACTATAACAATAACAACAACAACACAATTCACTCACGTACCTAGGAGTGTTCACGAGTAAACATATAACATGCACTGTATATTACATGCACACTTTTTACACCGTATATCACAGACAAATGTAAAGCCAGACAAAAAGATGCGCGTGCTCATATGTTAGTTTACAGAATGTAGAGTTGACCCCGGTGGTTCAGGAGCAGTGACCCCTGTCAGCTTTAATAGAAACATAAATCTGGTGGCCACCGGCTGTGACATGACACATGGCACTGACACCTGCGCTCAGTGCGCCCAAAAA